CAGCCCCACAGGTGTGGTGGGGTGGAAGCATAACCCGGGCGGAGGGGGGTTGGGGAGCTGGCAGTGCTTGCTGAGGAAGAGGATGCTCTCCCTCCTCCCCGCAGCACTGCCAGGCACAGGGAACCAGCAGGGATTTGGGGTGCTCACAGCCTGGGGTGCTTGCTGGTGGCATTTCCCTGGGGCCACCGCCTGTCCCTGAAGCTCAGGGCCACCACAGGACTGTCGCTGCTCCCTCTGCCCTGCAGCCTCTCCAGCGCTGCTGGGACAGGCACCTGGCCCAAGGACGTGGGCATCCTGGCACTGGAGGTGTACTTCCCTGCCCAGTATGTGGAACAGGAGGAGCTGGAGCAGTACGATGGTGTGGAGGCCGGCAAGTACACGCGGGGCTTGGGCCAGCAGCAGATGGGCTTCTGCGCCGCCCACGAGGACATCAACTCCCTGTGCCTGACGGTGGTGCAGCGGCTGGTGGAGCGCGGGCGCCTCTCCTGGGATGCCATCGGCCGCCTGGAGGTGGGCACTGAGACCGTCATTGACAAGTCCAAGGCCGTCAAAACCGTCCTCATGCAGCTTTTCCGTGACTCGGGCAACACTGACGTGGAAGGCATCGACACCACCAACGCCTGCTACGGGGGAACGGCCTCTCTCTTCAACGCCGCTGCCTGGGTGGAGTCCAGCGCCTGGGATGGTGGGTGTGGGCAGGGACTGTGCCGTGGGGTTGGGGGGGCTGGGTGTTGGGTGGGTGCCATGGGATGGGGGAAGGAGGCAGGAGGTGGCCTGAAGCCCAGAGATGCTCTGGCAAGCCTTAAAGGGAGCTACTGCACCTCCAGGCTCTCCAGCACCCCTGTTTCTTGCCCACCTTGTCCGTGACATCTGCTGGCATGGGGATGGGTGTACACGAGGACCATGGGATGGGGGCTCCCACCCACTGACGGCCCTGCTGACCACCCCTGTCCTCCTCCAGGTCGCTACGCTGTGGTGGTGTGTGGGGACATCGCCGTCTACGCCACGGGGAATGCGCGGCCCACGGGAGGGGCCGGTGCCATCGCCATGCTGGTGGGACCCAATGCCCCGCTGGTGCTGGAGAGAGGTTGGTGTCGTGAGATCCTGGGAATGGCGAGCTGGTGGGTGCTGACCCTGGGGGCCATACATCCATGTCCCAGCCCCGGACAGAGCTGCTCAGCTCTAGCAGCACTGGCTCTGCCAGCCCTGGTGAATGCCTGGTGCTGAGTACCCCAAGACCCTGGCTGGCATCATCCCTGTGGGCACCATGGAGTGACCCAGGGAGGCTGGTGGATGCCGGTACTGGCATGGCAGGCAGCACCCGTGGGTGCTTACCATCCAGCTGGTACCCCTCAACGCTCCCCAACAGCTGGCTCTCCCTGTGCCCGCAGGCCTGCGAGGAACCCACATGGAGCACGCCTATGACTTCTACAAGCCAGATCTGGCCTCTGAGTACCCAGTGGTGGACGGGCAGCTCTCCATCCAGTGCTACCTGCGGGCGCTGGACCGCTGCTACGCCGTGTACCGAAAGGCGGGGAGCCAGTGGCAGCAGGGTAAGCGGTGGCACCCCTGGGGTGCCCGTGCAATCCTACCAGATGCTGACGGCCCCACATTGCCTTCCAGCCGGAGTCCAGAGGCCCTTCACCCTTGATGACTTCAAGTTTGTCATCTTCCACACACCTTTCTGCAAGCTGGTGCAGAAGTCAGTGGGGCGGCTGCTGCTGAATGACTTCTTGGCCTCTCCCAACCCCGACACGGCCGCTGGCCTCTACAAGGGACTGCAGTCCTTTCGGTGGGTCCCCATGCCATGTCCCCCATCCCCCATCCCAGCCGGGGATGGGCCCATGTGGGGTTCGAGCCGGACTCTCTCTGGGCAGCGGCGTGAAGCTGGAGGACACCTACACCAGCAAGGAGGTGGAGAAGGCATTCCAGGCAGCCAGCCAGGAGATCTTCAACCAGAAGACCAAGCCCTCCCTGCTCCTCTCCTCCCGTAACGGCAACATGTACACACCGTCCATGTACGGCTGCCTGGCCTCCCTCCTGGCACAGTGAGTCCCCCAGAGAGCTGGCTTGGGGTGGGGAGGTCATTTTG